ATATATATATATATATATATATATATATATATATAATATAGAGCAAAATTATGAAATGGGCAATAAATAAGCATGCTGATATGTATTTATAAAATAGTTTCGTGTTAAATATTTGTGTTAAAAATAGAGATTAAAAGAACAAAACAACTTTAACGCTTTATATTTTTATTCAAAAATACTTATCTTACTTAAGCAAAAATACTTGTCTCAAAATTGTGAAAATATCCTCCATGACCCTTGGCCCGCAATGAGCTATTGTGGAAATGCTTCTCTTTTTTCCTTATAAATAATTTAATAATGACCCTAACAGTAAAACAAACATTCTTTTGAATAAATCTAATTTTTTAGATGATTAAAACAATCAGGGTTTTGAATTTAATAATTCAACAATCCTAGAATATATTTAGATTTTTTTAATAATTAGGTAAACATTACAGTAAAATAAATATCTAAACTGAATTATATTTAAAATAACAGTAACTCTGAATAGTTCGAAAAATATTTAAAAAAAAAGCTAATGAGCTGAGATAAATAAAGTTATGAATGAGATAAAGAGGTTTAAAAAATACATTTAAAAAATGTCTTAAAAAAGATGAAAAATTTAATGAATGAAATTAAAATTAAAATTTTATATGTTGTACTGAACCTTCATAATCAGTTTATGGCCATATTCTTAATACTGTAAAAAATTCCGGATAAAATTACGGTAAAAAGTATCGACAGCCTGGATGCATCAGTCATGAAATTAATATTATCGTAAAATCCATATTTACCGTTAAATTTTATACCGTATATTTTAGTGTAATAATTATTTAACTACAGTCTATTTCAAAATAAATATTAGTGTAAAAATTACGGAATATTAGATTTTTCTGTTCTGATACATGTTACCATAATTTTATATGAAATTTTTAACAGCGCAGACTTCTATTATCAAGTCGTATAATCAATTCCAGTTCTCATATGTATCCCTTCCTATGAAATTTTAAGTAAGAATTATTTATACAAAACAAAAGCACTAAAGAAATAAGGTATTTTAAGTGATTCGGGACAGTATTTTCCTTATTTTTTAAAAAAAATTTATCAAATATTCCGTATCTAATGTGATCACGTAAGTTGTAAGCATGGCTTTAGAATTTTTTGAAATGAGTGCGGCGTGAAAAAAATAACGTTTTATGGCATGAGTAACAAATAATTTTTCGTAATAAAAATTACAGAATATCATTTTTTAAATTTTATTTAAATTATAAATATTTAAATTTGTAAGTCAGGACAAAAAAATCTACTCTCTCTTTATTCATACTTACTCTTGAATAATTAATCAGTTACTAAATGTTAAAAAAAAAAAATGGTGCAAATCATTGAGAACTGAAATCATTGAAATAGGATCATTGAAATTTAATTTTAAAATTATAATTCTCAAAATAGTTTGCTTATTTTATTATTATGTAATTTTGTATAATGTCTATATTCAAGTTTATTTCATATAGAAAATGCGAGGTCAGAATACTTCAAGTCCCAAAGAAACTTTCTATGAACATATACAGTAATAAGAAATATATTAACAAGCGTTAACAATTGGAAAATTTATCTTAAATCAATTATAATATACTTATCTTGTATAATAACAGTCTCTAATCAGTATTAATTTCCCCACTTTGAGATTCACAACTAAAAAGCCCTAATGCTACTTGTGTAATTAATTTTAAGATTCATTATATACGTAAAAAAATTTGAATAGGGGAAAAAAATTATTGTTTGAAAATTAAAAAGAAGAAAAAAACTAATAGCTTCCAAACATTAAAGTTTAACTCTAAATTTAAAATCACTTAACAAGTCTTTTTATTTTCCAATACATGCTGCACTTAGTTTTAAATTTTGATTAACTTCAAAATGTTAATATAAGTTAATTGTTTGAGAAAAATTGTTGATTAAAAAAATTATTAAAATTTTAAGCTTAGAAAAGCAATTCAAAATCAATTAATTATTTTCAAAAAATATTTACGAAATAATTATTATTTCTGTCTTATTTAAAGCAAAAAATTATCTTTAAAAAATAGATGATTATAATTTATAAAACAAATTATAATGATGAAATTGAAAATAAAGGTTTTAAATAATAAAAATTTTATTATTTTCAAAAAGCAACTTTTTTTCAAGTTTATAGCGAATAACTAAATAAACATTTTAGTACAAAAGTATTTGTATAGTTTTATACACCGCACTACAAGAGTATACCTGGACTTTAAATAGTAACTGTAATAATTATGAAACTCCGCAAAATCTATTTAAAAATCTGAAACATTAAAGTTTGTTTTTTGTTAATAAAAACCTTCAAATAAAAATTATTTCGATTATGATATAATATATTTTTA